AAGTAAACCTGTGAAGCATAATTGCATTAACTAAAAGAGAGCGGTACTGGAAAATGGAATTGCTAATAGTTCCGTTTTGCATAGGTTATGTTTAAGGTAGAGGAAGGTCATTAGTGTGGAAAGGACAAAAAGACAGCTGGCAATGTTTGATAGCATGGAGGGTGAGAGTTCACATGCACAATTCTACAGTTAAGCTTCATCATCATACATATTATATTTGAAGCCAACACCACTAATTAGTTTTTCTAGGGAAGCAGTGTAGAATAACAATAGAAGTGGGCCAAGTACTAACTCCTATGGCACAGAGAAGTAGAAAGGTACAATAACTAAAAGAAATGCAGCAGGTACGGTTGCTAGGGAATCTTAATAAGCAGAACATCTAGCCTCATCTGAGGGCTCTCTGGGCCAACTCAATGTCCTTGGCTAGGACATTGGAGAAGTAACGACTGATTGTGATTAAAGCAAGACACTCCACTCTAATATGCACGCTCATAGATCTGACCTATTCCCCCATATGCCATTACATGCCGTATATATGCATTCCCTATGTTACCCCTTCTATATTTTATGTCCATTTCAGGTCCTTTCCGCATCACTCTATGATCCGTTCCTTCTCTGTAACAACACCAGACACAGACTAGTAGATAATAGTTAGACTTCAGCCTTAAAGGCATACACATACTGTTAGATTGTTAGTAAGCTGTTCTCATAATATGTAACCTGATTCCAATGGATACCTCCGAGCATGTTTCAAATACTTTACGAACCTGTAACAGTTATGTAGTCCATTGGTTTTTCTTTATAACCTTCTGATATTTACATCATCTGACCAGGTTATTGCATATGTATTACCTATGTTATGACTGTTTTGTTTGTTTCTTGGTTTGAATAAATCCAAAAATAAACTTGCAAAAAAATAAATAAATAAGCAGAACATGCGTATATGTTAGGCCCCGTTCACATATAGCGAATTGTCGCGCGATTTCCGCCGCGATATCGCGCATTTTTGCCGCGCGATATCGCGAGAAGTCGCCGGCCAATGTTATTCAATGGAGCTGTCTTAACTCCATGTCGCGCGTCGCTCGTCGCGGTCGCAAGTCGCTTCTATCGGACCCTTTTTTCGGCGGATTTTGCGCGATTTTGCTTTTTTTCTATGGAGCCCGACGGGGAAGGTCGCGCTACCGTCGCTGGATCGTGGCTGGAACGTCGCCCCGAAAGTCGCGCTATCCCGGCCGTGCGGATCCGCTGCAAAAGGTATGTCGCTATATGTGAACGGGGCCTTAAATCCGAAGAACTGCAAAATCTGCATTGAAGGTGTCACTTTTTTGGATTGACTATGTTTTTAAAACTGAACTAGCCTAGGTCACACACATTTTTATCACTGAGTGGTTTTGTAGTTTACCCATACCCGTTCCCCATACTAGTCTAATTTACAGGTTGACTTTACCAAAGAATAAAAAAGCAGTCTGCACATATTTTTCCTTTACTGTCCCAGCTGCCTCAATCCACTGCCAGAGCTCCCCCCTCCCCACCAACATGCACTCGTAGGACATTGTTTGGGTGTTTAGTAAGTAATTGTCTATTCAAAAATTCAGATTTTAACGTGTGTGAAAAATGAAAAAAATTGCTCTGGTACTTAGGTGGTTAAATACACAATTAAACGTGTTTTGTTAAATAAGTGCAAAATATACGTTTTTCAGGACAGAAATCTTGTGAGCTGATAACTTCCTGTGCTCTGTGGCTCTGCTGACTTTTATCAGTTAGGATTGTTCCTAGCTCTTTCTTGGACTACAGAACACTCCCCCTCATGGTATGGAGATGAGGAAAAGTGGAGCTATTTTGTAATCTTAACACACTTTCTGTCCTGGAATAACAATGCTGCTCCACATAGACAGTGTATGGAACAATATGGTTAGTACATATTTTCAATGTAGGACAGGAAGTGTGGCAAGATCACCAAAAAAAGAAAACGAATGCAGCCACCACATATAAGAACTGGTAAAAAAAAGCAAAATAGAAAGCAGAGAAATCAGAATGTAGGTGGTTTAAGAAAAGAATTCCTTCATTTAAAGAGAACCATCCACAAATAGGCATTTGTGATAATCTGTATATCTACGGGTAAAGTGTTATATCAGTTTTCTCTTTTCTCTTACTGTTCTGTCCCCGCTACGTTGCCCTGTGGCCTGTGTATAACTTGACATGCAGCTAATCCTTCCTATTCTGCAATAAATCAGACTGAGTGAAATCGACAGCCGAGGCCATGCTGGCATTATGCCCAAAGGGAAACGGTTGAGATACTAGAGAGGTGGATTGTTGTACGGCTGTAGGAACGCTATATTACTTATTATATGTGTTTTTAATCCTTTTAAATAAAGTGGATTATTATTATACTGCACTATGAGCTTCTTACTAAACCTTTTTTGACCTTACCGACACCCATGAAAGCTTTAACCTCCCTGGCGGTATTCCCGAGTGTGGCTCGGGGTTAATTTTCAGTACCAAGAGCGGCAACCCCGAGCCACACTCTGGATTGCACAAAAGTGTCACTTACCTTGTCCCTGCAAGCCCGCAGTGTCCTCTGTTGTGTGCGCCCGGCCAATGCCGGCATTCGGCTTTCAGTTTCGTTTTTGGGGGTGACAGCGGGGGAAATTCAAAAGTGCAAACATGACATTCACACAGAATACACACAATACAATGTAATCTGCTATAATTACATATATTTATCAAACAATTTCACTTCAATTTTGTCCCTAGAGCTTTGTCCAGTGCCCTGCCTGCACTTTTACTGTACTCTATTGACTGTGGTACGGATCAGGCAACGCCCCCAGAATTCCTATTTACTGGACCATTTTTTAAATTATTTTATTATATTATAATGTTTATAATTATTTATTATATTATCATTTCTTATAATTATTTAAAATTATTTATTATATTATAATTTATGATTTCGTGTTTCAAACTTTATCATACCTGGGATGTCTACTGGACTCTTGTTTGGACAGATTTAGGTGAGTTATTCCTAAGATTTACTAAGGGGTCTATTCACGAAGCAGCCGAAGGATCTAGCCGTAGCTTCAGCTGATCCTTCGGCTAGCTTCGGCCCCATGACCCCTTCGGTTCAGTAGAACCAAAGGGCTGCTGTATGGGCTATTCACTGTGGCCCGCATATGCTTCGGCTCGACTGAGCCGAGGTGAAAGCCGAAGCTGGCCGAACGGCCGGCCGACAGCCTGCTTCTGACAGCTGGGCGGAGCCAGCCGTGATGTTACGGCTGGCTCCGGCCACTTGCAGGGAGATCAGCGTCCCTGGTTACCAGCTAACCAGGGATACTGATCTCCAGAGAGCCTAACTCTCCCGGGTGCATCCTACATAACCGTTTATTTAAGAGACGGGAAGGAGCAAAGGGGAATACTGTAGGGTGTCACGAGACATATCCAAGATGGCGGAGCCCATAAGCAGTCTCAGACTTTTTGGATGCCTACACAAGGGAAGCTTTTGCAGATAAATAACATAAGATTGTTAATTAAAAAAGTACTCCAGGCAGAACTCGAATTAACCCTTGCAGTGGGGCTACCTGCACACTGCAAGGGTTAACTGCTCTTTTTTGCCTAGGGTAAACAAATAAAATAAAGTTATACTCGCTTGAGCCTCCGAGTCAGCTGGCTCTTAGACTGGTCCCTGGGGCGTCTCTCCCCCTCCACTGAAGCAGTCTAGGAATCTTGGAGTCATGCAGTGTATGGGACGTGAGGACGCTGAGGATCATTCCATTGCTGCAGTGGAGGAGACAATCTGGAAGAGGAGCCAGGCTGGAGGGATCACTACTGGCTCGGAGGATTGGGTGAGTATACCCTAGGGAAAAACAAGCAGGTAATCCTTACAGTGTGGGGGAAGCCCTACTGCTAGGGTTAATAAAATTTCTGCCCGGAGTTCTGCTTTAAGCACTTCATCTTTACCCAATTTTTACTGAAACCGTATCATCTTGTAATGTACTCTACCAGGCTGATATCATTAATAAACCCTAGGGCCTGGTTCACACCTAGGCAATTCAGCTGTTTTTGCACAGTTTTGCTTTGAAAACTGCATGCAACATCTGAGGTTTTCAATGCATAGAGGTGTCTCTGGGATCAAAAACGAGCAATAACCGCCTGAAAATAGCTCCTGCCTTTTTATTGTGTGAAAGGTGATTTTGCCTGCACAACGCAACGCAAAGGTGTGTACAGCCTCCATTGACGTGAATGCAATTCTGTGTTTTGCACGATAAATCGCCTAGGTGTGAACACCTAAGAGTTTTTGAGCAGTTCAAAACTGTCCAACACAAGAAATCCCATGATTTTTAATGGCCCTGGTTCACACCTGAGCAGAAAACCGCTAGCAGAAAAACACCAAACGCCTGAAAAAGTACAGGAGCATCTTTGGGCAGTTAAAAGCACTTTTGTGCCCCATAGACTTCATTGGAAATGCCCAAAAACATGCAACAGAAGCATGATGCACATTTTTGTGAGCGTTTTTGTGCGTTTATACACGCGTTCTTGCATTGCCCACAATGGTGTATGAGCTGCCGATCAAAATGCGCATCTTCATGTACACGCGTTAAAACGTGCATACATATGTGCAAATAACAACATGCTGCTAACGTGTGAATAAACACGCAAAAAACGGTGCCGCCTAGGTGTGAACCCAGCCTTAACCATGGAGGGAGGAAACCAAGAGCTAATTTATGCATCTCAATGCTATCACAATGATATTCCTTAAAAACGTCTCCTGAACACCACCTATCAAACTGGTATATTTGACATAACATTATTGACTCTATAGTAACCACAGAAGAACGGCCTGGATGTTAGGAGAGCCGGGACTGATTTACTAATCTCTCCTAGCCTAGCTAAACCGCACAGCCTTCTGCATCTGTTTATACAAGAGAAGGGCTGCTGTTTCTTGGAGATGGAACTCGTGTGTCAGACTCCTGTTGCCGTGGGACAGTAATTTAGACTGCACAGTGCTTTTGCAGGAAGTGAGTTACACGTGGGTTTATACAGTATAGTAGAAGATTGAAGTTGCCGATCGGCTCATTATCCGTCAGAATGGTGTGTATGATAAGACTTTATTACATTAGCGAAGTCTGAATAGGAGGAAGTAATAATGCTGTGTTGTGGAGTGAGATGTTACTGGGCAAAGTTTTAAGTGGCTTTAATGTATGCCAGTATTGGCAGCAGATAACTAGATTTACTATGCTGTTCTGTCATCTCTTATGTAGTATTCAGGCATATGTACACACAAGCAAATTCTGTTACTACAAATATAAATGACTAAAAACACTCAGATTGGTGTCATTCTGACATATTGAACTCCTGCCATTCAAAAAAAAGCACATTCTTGATTTGAAAATGTTCTAAAGCCCCCTGAAATTATATAACAATGTTGACAACCCCCTATGTCAGGGGCTGGACATGAAGAAGAAAAAAAAATTAAAAACCCTGCTGCTTGTGGCTGCTAGCAGCTGGGTTTTTACTAATGATTATATGACACTCCTGGTGCCCTGTGTGAGGGCACTACAAGTTCCAGCAGTTCCTGTCCACTGCTGACACTTTTAGTACCCTCACACACAGGACACCAGGATTATCATATAATGGACAGGGACTGCTGACACTTGTAACGCCCTCACACACAGGACACCCAGACTGTCATATAATGATGATATGACATGCTTCTGCCTCTGGGAGTCATGACAGTGGCTTGCAGTGCCTTATGGGATTTGTAGTTTCAGCACAGCTGGAGAGCCAAGGTTGCCTACCCCTGAGCTAGGAGGAACATGCAGCCCAGGAGGGAGGTGCGGGTCATTAGAGGGCGGCTGGATGAATTGCCGGTCCAAGGACTGGTGGGCCTAATAAAATCTTGTGGCAGGCCGGTTCTAGCCTGTGGGCATTGTCATTTATGCCCTATGTGATGGTACAGAAAAGAGGACAGATTTAATTTATTAAGTCTTCAGGTTCTATTAGACTGACCCCTGATGCTTCCAGCCCATACACACAAAACCCCACTCCTCTTTGTAATAGCTTGAGGGCCCATTCCTACCCAGTGCATTTTAATGCATTTAACACATTAAAAACGCATATACACAAAAAATAGAGGTTTTCAATGGTGTAGTTCATACCAGTGTGTTCCGTTGCCTTTTGAAAAAAAAAAATAGAGCAAGCTGCATTTATACACAAAGCATGATGGTACACATGTGGACATATAAGGCTTCATTCACACTGGCCACTTGTCTGTCTGCAAAATCTCTCAGACTAGATACTTTGTTTGTACTTCTATATGCTTAACATGATACGCTTTCATACATGTTTACATGCATATGCATGTAGATGTATCTGTCCTTTGTCCATTGAAACAGTCCATTGAAGTAGCCCAGGAGAATTCAGCAAATAAAAGCGGCCTTGCATTTACATGCATTTTGGTGAGTTTAGAAGCTACAATTGTTTCCTGGATGCACCTGACTTTTATTTTTTCTGAACGCAGCAGAACTGACTGCATCTAAACGCAATGTGTGAATGGATCCATTGAAAATTATTAGATGCATTTAGAAAATCATGTTAAATGCACCTAATCACACCCTACTGGGGCTTAAAGGGATAACATACCCTTTGAAAATACATAGGGGAAAAGAATACCAACATATGAATGGTTAAATCCAATAAATGGTTAAATCCACAATTTTGCTTGCAGCATTTGGAGTTGTTGTATGACAACAGATGCTGATTGGTTGCCATAGGTAACTGCTCCAGATTCTTTTGCTCCAGTTTTGATAAATTCCCCCCATTGTGTTTTCTGTTGAGGCATCTAGTTTGTTACGGTAAAATATTAATCTCACCAAATAGAAAAACACCTGAAACGGAACGCCTGCAAAACGCTCAGAAATGCTTTTAAAAAAAACACCCATAAAATGCGTTAAAGCCAACGACCGGTGTGAATTCAGGCTCAGGCTCCATTCACACTAAGCGACATACCTTTTGCAGCGGATCCGCGCAAAAGGGGTAACGCGACTTTCGGGGCGACGATCCAGCGACCTTCACCATCGGGCTGCATTAAAAAAAAAGCAACATCCGAAAAAAGGGTCCTGTAGGAGCGACTTGTGACCTCGACGGGCGACATGGAGCTGTACATTAAGACAGTTACATGTTACATTAGGGCAGTGTTTTCATTTTGAATGAGCCGCCAACACCCAAGAAGGGACGAAAAAATGGACAATGCACGGTGGTGCATTAAGGCCGCTCATTCTTTAAACAAACAAAACACTAAATACACCAAAAAGGTACATGTATCGTTTTTTGCAGCGCACTGCAACACATGTCTGTTGGCAAGGTTTATTGGTGTGGCAATTAGAATGAATGGCACTGCACCAACATGTGTGACATGAGTTACGGCATCACGATAGTGTGAACGGGCACTAATATAGTGAAGATCTTTGAGAGTTAAAGATAACTTTCCCTCGTCTACCACACATACACACCCCTTTGGAAAAAATAGCAGGAGCTGTCATTTTGAGATGTGAGCCAAGTTATGATTCTCCAGTGGGACTCGAAGACTTGGCACATATAGTTTATTTTATTTGGCACACACATGCAAACATGTTATAAGTTGGCTTATAGCAATTATTGGTATATTGTGGCAGGAAGGATTCTGGTCAGTGTTTCATTTTATTTAAGAAAAAACATACAAAAATACCAGCAAATGTGACAGTGGAACTCTTCTTTAAAAAATAAAATCATAAGTCTTAGAATTAGGGATGCACCAATATATCGGCCGCCGAAACATATCGGCCGAAAATGGCACTTTTGGCATAATGCCGAAAGAGCCATGTTTCGGCCGATACATCGGCGCATCCCTGGTTTCTTTTCTCCCCGCTGGGCGCTGTTCCAGCGGGGAGAAAAGAAAGTGACAGCCGCCGAGGACTGCAGGACGAGAGCGCTGTGAGCGGCAGCGTCTCTCCTCCCACACCGCTCGGCCGCCTATAGAATGCTAAGTTGTGTAGAAAGGTGCTGCAATGTAGTGTGTAGAAAGGAAAGCAATGATGATGGCACATTGTTCAGACATTGGGTTGTAGCTTAGAAAGCAGGCTCTGTGAGAGTTGCACTATTAAATAGTGGTGAAACGTGCTCTCAACATGGGATGCAGCCAGCCAATACACTATCCCAAGTGTAAGGGCTTGTGCATATCGGAGCATAGTAATAATTGCATCATTCCATGCAATTAACGCATACTGTTGCACAGCATAGAGCTAGGTGCTTTGCATTGCCATTCATTTGAATGGCACCCCACCTCCCAGCCCCCATACTGCACAATACCACAATACCTTGTGGTGCAATCGAATTTTAGTCACTGCACTGAGGAAGTACATCCTATGGGCAATTTCAGTGAGTAAGTGTACAGACGTCTAGATGAACATGGTTATTAGAAGGGGTTAATAAGTTCTAGAAATACGTATTTATAATTAGGTTTTTACCATAGATACCCTTTAAATCTAAGTTACAGAAAAATATTTAACAAATTACTGTAAGATGTTAGCCCCAGGGATTTTTTAGTGTTGGGGGAGGTCTGCTTTTAATATTCATTTTGTTGCGCAAGAATGCATAATCTGCTGCTGGGAAACAGACTGGCTCTTTACATTCTGTGAACCCTGAACTATACAAGCTGAATTTATTCCTGAACTTCTGAAATGTAAATTTATGTTTATCTAAAGTAGCTGGTGATGAGAAAATAACTGCATATACAACAACGCAAAAGTGACCAGTACAGCAGTTATTATTTCCAGTTCAAAACACTAGACAGGGAGAAAGATGCTGCATGCATGTTTACTGTTCAGATTGGATATGCAGGATCAATACATTGCACATGCCCAAGGCAACAACATGTCAACCAATTGCAAAATCTCTGTGTACTGGTTCTATATTTCAGAATATTGCCGCCTGTCCTGAAACACTAGGTATGAAAACTTAGGATGCCTAGTAACAAGGTCATCATGTTCCATTTATCCTGTAAGAAGTCCATATAGTGTACATGAATTGATTTAACCATTTGTGCCTGCAATTTTTTTTTGCACTATGCTAGTGACTTGAAAATCATTTATGCATTCTGTGTGACATTTAGTCCTTGCCAAAGGTGAAATTATTCTGTTTAACTGGATTTACCAGAGTAAATGTATGGCTGACCAAAATATGTTTTCTTCCCTAATCCTGTTGACATATGTGTACATGCACATGATGTGTGTTGCTGCTTTCTTTATTTGGGACTATTTATAAATCTCGGAGGGAAATGATATAAGACATGAGATAACAGTGGTAAGAGAAAATCACTAATGGTATGTATGCTATACAGCTCTTGTGTGGCAGTTTCCTTCTAAAGGGCTAAATTGTCAAAAGTAATATTAATCCAAATCATATAGTTCAGCATTCCTTTAAGGATTAAGATAGGGAAATGATGGACAGAATCTCATTTGTCTTAGCCCTTTAGGCTTTCTAGTTTTTATCTTCTTTCCAGTTTGCTACACTTTGTGTAAATCTAACATCTTAAAGGAAAAGTGTGGTGAGACTGAGAATAAAAAAGTAAACCATGAAATGCAAACAAGAAGCACAACTTTCCCGTAGAACTAGCCACCAATCCGATTAACCGTTTATCGTGCAGTACTTTTCCTGTGGGCTGCATGGGGCCTGGTTTTATTTATTTATATATATATAGAGAGCTGCAGCTAACGATTATTTTCAAAATCGATTAGTTAGCCGATTATTAAGTTCGATTAATCGGTTATTATTTATTTTATTTTTTTAATACTACTTGCCTTTCTCCAGGATTTGCTGTAATTATTTTCTTTGCCCGTATGACATCATCACACAGGCCACCAAGGTCTTTACTAGAGCCAGACTAGGAATTGAAAAGGTTGCCCTGGACCTGGAGGCAGTGGCGCAGTGGGATCCCTCTTCATACCTGTCCTGCTATGATTGGCAGGGATAGTTATCGGCGGTAACAACACGGTTAATCTTCACCCTTAGAATATGTCAGGATACTACTGTACAGGGTAACACTGCATTTTATT